TTGTTGAAGTCGAGCACGTGAGACGTTTATTATAGCGCGACTGTTGAAATTAAGTGTATCGCAAAGTTATATCCAGAAAGAATAAACCAGTTTTATTTAAGAAAGGACTTGTGTCGCTAAAGTTTCGTCGGAACGAAGTTACGGAAAATCAACTAACGAACGGAGACGTAACAATATAAAGTTAACTAGTACTTGTGTATTAGCTATCCTAAACTATTTTGTCTAAATCCATTTTAGTGTTGATTGAAATATTTATTTTACTTGTGCTTAGAATACACATTTAGGCTGTCTGCCATAGCTGTTAAAAGTCAAAATCTACTAAACGTCTTAGTTTAACCATTAGTTTCTAGTTGTAGAAACATGGGCACCCACCGAAATATTCTCAAGGGGGGGGGGGACAAAATATATATGTAGGGGATCAGCTTTGACACAGGCCAACAGACTAAAATAGTATGTACTATGTGTGCTTCAATGCAAACACAAATTTACAGTTTTGATAAAAATTACTAAAAATATTTAGTTTAACTATGATGTTAAGTTTACATCTTAATATGTGCAATTTTTTGTGAAATGTAAGGGGGACAAATGCTTCTTCTTGCTCCTTCCATGTGTAGAAAAAACTTCCATAAGGATTAGCTATCTTAACCTGATTTTGCAAGCAATAATGAATGTCACTCATTCAGAGTTACATCATCATATTTCATCCTTATAAATTGCTTTACAAATGTTTAATCATGAAGTTGGTAAAACATGACTGTGTAGTTTTTAAAATCATAAGATACGTGCATATAAATGTTCTTACAAATCTGTAAATAAATGAAAGCCTTTTTTTTTCTTACATTTACTTTCCGATAAGGACAAAAACATTTATGGCAAAAAGGTAAAAACTATTTTGCAGGTACGCATGTAATATTAAGTTATACTTGAAGGAGAAATTATATCACTTACATACAGTTATAATTATAGCTGTGCAGTGTTCCTACACATTTTCATCTTCCTGATCTTCCAGGATTGTGCAACCTCTGCTGCAGTGAAAATTTAACACTGTTTTCATTTTACTACGATGAAAGAATCGTGTTAAAATATATATGAATAAAACTAGCTAGTAGAAAATTACTTGCTTACCCAAAGGTTCTTTTGGAGTTAAAACAGTTTCTGTTACCACTTTTCTTAGTAGTGAAAATTCTGAAACAAACACAAAATAAATTAACTTCTAATACTTTTAATGATTTCAAACATGTTGAAAACATAACAAGTTCATTGAAAATTCTATTTACAAAGGCATATCATCAGGCAGCATTTTTGTCCTTTCTTTCTTTCTATAAAAATAATACAATTAATTTTAATATTATCATTACTAATGTGAAATCTGCTTATATTAACACTGTTACGACAGCGGAGGTCACGTGACCCTAGTAATACGTAATATTCTCGAAGGTTCGTGAATCCTCGAGTGTTTACTAGAGTTGCGGTATTCTTGTGTATATAAGACGGCCAAGAAGTGACGGCAAGAATGTAATTGAACTGCAGACAGAGAGAGACTGACAATTGAGTCGAGCACGCGAGTCGTTCGTTGTGAATTACAGCGTTTGTTATAACGTGACTGTGGAAATTAAGTGTATTGCAAAGTTGTATTCAGAAAGAATAAATCAATTTTATTTAAGAAAGGACTTGTATCGCTAAAGCTTTTTCGGAAAGAATTTTTACGGTAAA